GATCTTACTGAGCTTTCTGAAAGTGAGCTGCTCGAAGGTTGGCAGGACCAGAACGTGGTCAAAGTCTAACGAATAACAATAAGACGCAACAACAAACTGACCCCTACAAAACACGTAATAATTACCTTCGGAACAAGTGACCTACCAGAATCAATCGAAACCGGCTATTGTAAGCTTCGTGTAAGAACATACATTCCCAACCCTCATAGATGTTTCAAGTGCCAACGTTTCGGTCATGGATCGCAGAGTTGCAGAGGGCGTGCCACTTGCGCAAAGTGCGCATCCATTCAACACATATCGGACAACTGCACCTCAGAAACAACTCATTGTTCGAACTGTGAAGGATGTCACGCTGCCTACTCATGATCATCCCCGCATGGAAAAAAGAGAAACAAATAGTAGAACTTAAGGTTAAATTCAATCTCACATTCAAAGAAGCACGCCCACGTTTCGCACTACACAATCCATCTGATCCCTCCTTCGCAGATGTGACGCGCCGGGGCGCCGCCCCACATGCCTCGGCACCCGCGAATGTTACACAGTGTGTGGCCGCGGTCGTGCCACCAACGCCCCCGGCTGGAGCAGCCTGTACTGCTCCACCACCTGACAAACAGGGCCAGCAGACCCCCGTGTCTGCTGAACCTTGGACCACTGCAAGCGCAATTAAGTCCGAAAGTTCTGTGAACGTGCCTGCCGAGCAGGCACCATCCACAACCCCAAAGAGGTGATGTATACAAGTCCCACTCCTCCGGTGCATAAGACGCCGAAGTATAGGCGCAACTCCTTGTAGCGCGCCAAAAAAGAAAAAAAAACCAAATCACAGGGCCCCCAAAAGGCCCTGTAACATAACGCAACACTTTTGTACACACAGTACCACACAACATTAAAATGAAACAAATACTACAGTGGAACGTCGCAGAACTGCCGAGAAAACTCGATGATATCCAGGAACTTTTACACATACACCTTAGGTGCTGTGCGTACAAGAGACACACCTGAAACGTAAACACACCAACGTTTTACGTCTTTACGTTATTGTTCGGAAGAACCGGAACGATGTCATTGTGCCATCCGGTGGTGTTGCCATTATAGTCAATCAAGAGATTGCATGCACACACCTACCACTACAAACATCCTTTGAGGCGGTGGCTGTTCGAGCAGTTCTTTTGAGTAAGCTCGGCACCATCTGCTATTTCCACATACCTCCACAACAACGTCTTGAAAAGCATGAATTTCAGTCCCTCATAGGCGAACTTCCAGTAACCCTACCTTGTCTTAGGGGATTTCAATGCTCATAGTAGCCTCTGGGGTGATTCGCGCTGCGATGCGCGAGGTCCCCTGATTGAACAGTTCATTTTTTCCAATGCGTGCCTCCTGAATAAGAAAGAGCCAACATATTACATTATTGCTAACAATACGTACTCAACAATATACCTCAGCATAATATCCTCATCACTCCTGCCTCTACTGAAATGGGAGGTCATTAATAATCTATACGGTAGTGACCATTTTCCTATCGTTATCAGCACATCAGTAACAAATATATGTCTTGCACAGGTTGCCAAATGGCTCACCCACAAAGCCGATTGGGAAAAGTTTAAAAAATGACTGTATTAACCTGGACTGACATGATGGCGTTAAGCATAGAGGATGCTGTGTGTTACTTTACAGCTTTCTTGGTTGATGCAGCAACAAAATGTATTCCCCAAACTTGTGGACGATTAGAAAAACGACGAGTCCCATAGCGGAATAATGAGTTAAGTGATGCACAAAAAAACAAAATAAGGAATAGAAGTTGCTTAGAGACTTGCCGAATGCCCAGAATCTTGTAAACTTTGAGAACGTCAAGTCGCAAGGAAGGAGGATGCGTCGCCAGGCGAGAAGGGAAAGTTGGCACAAATTTTTATCAGGCAGTAGTTTATACACAGATGAGGCGAGAGCCTGGAGCATGGTTGGTAAGGTGGCAGGACGAAAAGCACATTCATTTCCTCTGGTGATCACACAAGGGGATAGTTTGGAAGACCAGGCTAACCCTCTCGGAGCGCACTTTGAACAGGTCTGCAGCTCATCATACTATAGTGAAGCGTTCCGACGTTACAAAACCAAAATAGAAAAACAGAGTTTAGAGCGCAGATCCACAACGCATGAGGCATACAATGAACTGTTCTGTTTGACTAAACTACAAGCCTCACTTACCTGCTGCAATAAATATACCCCAGGCCCGGACCGTGTGGCATATGAAACGTTAAAACACCTGCCCACTGAAACCCAGAAAGCTCTCCTCTCTCGGTATATTGCGATATGGTCTTCCGGCGAGCTACCATCAGCCTGGAAAGAAGCTATCGTTATCCCAATTCTAAAACAAATCAAGGACCCAGCCTCACTTTCCAGCTACAGGCCAATAGCGTTAACCAGCTGTCTTTGCAAGGTCTTTGAGAAAATGATTAACAGGCGCCTGATGCACTTCCTTGAAATTTATGACCTACTTGACCCATACCAGTATGGGTTTCGAGAGGCTCGGTCCACCACTGACCACCTTGTCCGTATCGAGAAACCAATTGGTAACGCTTCTGCTCATAAGCACTTTTTCTTTTTATGTTCCTCGATATGGGAAAGGCATATGACACTACATGGCGCTTTGGCATATTGCGAGACCTGTCACATTAGGTGTGCGGGGTAGAATGCTGATAAATATAGAAAGCTATCTGTCCAACCATACATTCCGTGTCCGAGTTGGCACAATCCTATTTCGAGTATTCATCCAAGAAACAGCAGTGCCACAAGGAGGTGTATTGCACGGCACCTTTTTCATAGTTAAAATGAATTTCTTGCACAGGTTTTTCCCACGTAATATTTTTTACTGCATATATGTCGATGATGTACAGATTCGTTACAAATCGTGCAACATCTCAATGTGCCAACGTCAAGTTCAACTAGGGCTTAACAAGGTATCTCATTGGGAAAATGAAAATGGTTTTATACTCAACGCGCAAACAGCGCCTGCGTCTTGTTCAGCCGAAAGAGGGGCCTCCATCCTGACCCCAACATTGACCTGCATAGTCAACTTCTGCCAGTGAAGACTGAGAACAAGTTTCTTGGAGTAACATCAGATACAAAACTAAGATTCATACCACACATAAAGTATTTAAGGCACAGGTGCTTCAAAACAATGAATATTTTGAAAGTGTTGTCACGCACTATGTGGGGGAATGACAAGAAGTGCCTGGGGAATGTATTTAAAAGCCTCGTACGCACAAGCCTAGATTATGGTGCTCTAATCAATAAGTGAGCAACACTCGGCCTTGAAGATTCTCGAGCCTGTCCACCATCTAGGAATTCGCCTCTCTACGGGCGCTTTTCGTACTAGCCCTGTAGAAAGCCTGTACGTGGATTCGAATGAATGGTAGCTCCACCTACAAAGACGTTACCTGTTCTTTTTGTACTTTCTGAAGGTGAAGGCAGACAAGAAACACCCCCCTCATTTCATAAGTAATGATTTGTTTTGTTCTGGCTTCTTCGAGAACCGTCCTTCGTTGCGGCCGCCCTACTCGCTCTGTGTAAGGGGCCTCACCGAAGAAACAGGTGCGCATCTTCTCTAACACAGTTTGATGGCTCCTGCAGCACATCTGCCACCGTGGTAGTGGCACTTTATAGACTGTGATGTCTCTTTTGTTGAAGTCACAAAGCACGCACCACTTGCACACATATATACATACTTCCTGGAACTACAACAAAAATACACATGCCCTGATTTCTTTACCGACCTCTCAAAGTCCAACACTTCTGTGTCATATGCAGTGGTAGGCCAATCCTTTTCCGAAACTGGCGTTCTTCATCCTGATGCAAGCATTTTCACAGGAGAAGCTTACGCAATACTGGCAGTCATAAAACACATCAAACAGATAAAATTACAAAAGGGGTAATATACACAGATTCCCTAAGTGTGTTCAAAGCCCTGAAAACTCATAAAAAACACAAGAACCCCGTGCTGGTGTCACTTAACTCACTTCTGTGCACACTGTACACATCAAAAAAGCATTTCGTTGTCTGCTGGGTGCCAGGGCACCGTGAAATCCAAACGAACGTTTTGGCCGATAAGCTGGCTGCTTCGGTCAACGACACTACTTCCAATGCATCAATATCAATCCCTGCACTTGACTTGAAACCGTTTTTAAAATGAAAGCTCAGGGGGTATTGGCAGAGCACGTTGGATAGAGACATGGACAATAAACTCCATGCTATTAAGCCACAACTATGTGATTGGCTGCCACTATCAAAATCACGACACACAGAAGTAACACTAACAAGGCTTAGAACAGGACATACACACTCCACACACTCATATCTCTTATCCACCGGCAATCCACCATATTGTGACAGATGTGGAGAACCACTGATGGTTCTCCACATTCTCGTACACTGCAATGATCTAGATGTTTAAAAAAAGCACTTTACTGCCCTACCGACCGCAGCTCCCACTACACCCTGGGATGCTCATCGATAGGGATCCGCTTTTTAAGCTGCAATCGCTTTTCACGTTTTAATAGATGTTCATAGCTTTCAACCTATACTTCGATGTCATCCGTGGCACAAAATATGTACCGTGGTTGTGGCTGTGGTGACTACATCTCCATCATGGTTTTATTATCATGACATTCTGCCATCTACTTTCACTGCACATATCTCACGCCACTGTCATGATTTTATTACATCCATGTTTTAACCCGCGTTAGCGCTAGGAATTTTAAGGCCCCTTTACAGCCACGCATCGTATCATTGTTCATAATTCTAGTCTATTGAAATGGCGCTCTTTGGCCATCAACTGGTCCTTGCGCCATTAAAAACCGATCATCATCATCATCATCACACCACCACCACCACCACCACCACCACCACCACCACCACCACCACCACCACCACCACCATCATCATCATCATCTGCATCATCATCATCATCATCATCATCACATCATCATCATCAGGTGCCTTCTAGCCCGACCATGGCCTACAGCAGTCGGTCGACACAGCATGAACGTAAGTGACACCACCCATTTCAAGTTGTGACGGAGAAAATAGTTTGCGCAAACATTCAGTCGTATGGTCATACCGTTGCGTCATTAATTGTGAAAAAGTGAAATGTCGTTCGCTAATAAGCTCAGGAAAGTTTAGTTCCAGGGAAAAGGGCGTAAATCAGTGATCTCAAGAGGTAATGTAGCTTACAATGTTAGGCATGCACTGCATCCATCCGCACCATTGTTACTTCTTCGCTCGCCGGAGCCATGGATGCGGTGTTGATTGAGTTTGTCACTTTTCATTCCTCTTGCTCTTATTTTGTGTTCAACATCTGCTCCAATTCACACAAGATAATCATGAAGCTCTCAGGAATCTACTTGGCTGTACATGGCAAAATCATGGACGGACGTGAAAGTGTTTTTGTCTGCGTGTGCGTGTGTAGGCCGCTGGATTGGCCATCGTCAACTTTTCGTGCGAGAAAAAGAATGAACACCCATGCTTGAGGGCAAGCGTTTCTTCACAATTTCTCCCCAAAGCAGTACGAATGGTCGTGGTGGCTTTGAGGTGTGAATAGGTTATCTGGATTAACAGGCTCCTTGAAAGACAAGCCTGGGTTAAATATTGAGGCAAGTTCATCATTTTCATTACCTTTGCTCTTTGTTCGCAAATATCATGATAACTCAGAAAAGACAGCGCATTGAATGTTTCGTAAGTACTAAACTTCATACTAATGGTGGTGATGTGATAAGGTTGTTTTGTTCAAGTGATACGTCAACACTTTCTTTTTTCTACTTCAAGACAGTGCTCGATTTACTCTAAAACTCTACACCAGCAAAATATGGATTTTGTGCCATTGTACTGTTCTCAAATATATTTATCTAAGCATACTTGTCTTGTATTTTTCTCATTTTAATGCCCGAGGCATTACCAAGGATAAATTGCAACTTGTACAACTTCAAAAAGAAACAGTTGCATATCTCCATCTCCAATGGTGTCATGGAATTTATGAGCCCGCGTTTATATTTGTCTTTCTTCGTCTACGTTCCACTTGTTTTTATATTTACGTGTGTTTTGATAAGGACACGCAGTGAAAATTTCTTGCTAGTTTGGTTCTTCAAAGTAGGGTGCAACGCTCACTGATCGAAACGGAGAAACTTAGGAATAGCCCATAATTTTGTTTCCACCAACTACAACTCGGGTGACATAAGTGTAAATTCGACTGGAATGCGTACATCACACGCAACATTATCGTAGCAGATGTCGCAACATCGCGTGGTTATTTTGAGGAACTGCACATACCCGCATGCATAGTTATGCAAAATAACGTGATGTCACGTTTTAATTCGTCAGCTTTGTTGATAGTTTTACGCAAGCTGACAAATGAACTGGTATGATGCATTAGGGCTTGCTACTGTGTGATATAAAAAAACTGGGAGACCATTAGGCTCCGTTTTTCAGTGTTGACGTGGACGTGTTTCTTTTGTGTAATTACACAACTCAGTGTGCACATTTAATTTAATAATGCTACTTGAACCATTTTATTTGTGGCATAGTATTGTGTAATGAAGAAAGTTGAAAGTGTCTCAATGAAGTTTTTGCACATGACTGCATTCTGTGTTAAAAAGGGGCAGCATTGTTTAAAGCACGAGCAATATTATGTTAATACTCAGTTGCGCGAAAAATATAAATACAAAAGGAAAACACCTGGAAACAGCGCAAATTGACAACTGAAACTTTGTTGGAGAAAATAGACACATATATGTGGTTACATGTGTGGTGAAAGAAAATGATTAGATGAGCAGACAGATTGTAATAATGATGCGCTTCCAGAAAAGCAACCTAAGCGGCAAGCAACATAACTGAGAGTTACGTGACATATGAATCAGCAGCTTTGCTTATGAGAGACGCCTCTTGGAATTCCCTCGCTGCCTTGTCCCTGAATCTACTTTAACTACCGTATCACCAAACAGGGGCACGCAGCTGCACTCTCCACAATGAGATGATACGTTAGAGCATGGTTGTCCCTTCAGAAAAGCTTTGTGATCCACAATTATATTATTGAATCCTGAATACTACTTCCCGCACGTCAGCACAGTGCCGTACCCTGCACGATGTCCATACGGTGAAAAAAATTAATTAGATGTCTGTTCACCTAATCATTTTTTCCACCTCCCGTGTTCTCGTTACCGCATATATATGTCTGTTTTCTCCAATAAGGTTGTAGTTGTTAGAGTGCGCTGCGTCCAGGTGTCTTTCTTTCGCACTTCAAATTTTTGCGCGGAACTCATTTAAGACGAATTACCACCTCGCCCAGCAAACCGTGCTTCTCAATATTATGTGTGTAAAATCTTTTAGAAGTTTATGTACCCACTATGCAGTCGTGAGAGAATACGCGCAGTAACGTGTGTGCCTTTTGTAATGGTTGGCTGTGTTTAGACCGCGAAGTCACGTGGGTAATAACGTTTTGTGATGCCCGATGACAATGCACGCTTGTATCATGCAATATTGCTGCGATAATGAATGTTGTGCTGCGAAACCTGCATACAGGATGCGTGTATTTGTTAAGCATGGCAATAATGTTTGTTGCACTTCCAACCAGAGGAAGTTATTCATACTTTATTTCCAAGCAGACACATTGCTGTAAGATAGAGCACTTGCTTGCCTTGCAAATGGCCTGCATGATTTCGAACATCACTAAGAACCGAAATTTATTATATTTGTTTTATTTCCGTTCTCTCAATTTTCGGTCATGGACAAGGCGATTTTTCACTCAGAGCCACCGATGCCTACTCTAGAATTTCTTCGGAACGAGCTATTTACCGATGTTGCGTTAATGATGCATTATTGGCAAAACGGAAAGTGGGTTAAGTTTACAAAAGACGATATTTAGTGTCCCATTGGCAAGAAATATCGCTCAAAGCCTCCGTTCTCACGCGCACAGAGACCTACACACACCAGTTTTAGCAGTCACACTATGGGCCATTTATAGTCACAATACTTGTACATGACAAGCTTGCATACCAATCACTTTTGACCGAACTCTATAAAGATTGATTATCCAGTCATTCAAGTTATTCAATGCATACGCAGTTCATATGGTTAATAGCAAGTCAATATTTCGTTTTGACGCCCTATGGACGCTCCATTGGCACGACAGATAATTCTTAAATAAAAACACTGTGGAAAATCTTTTTACAAAACCTAAATTGGGTTCTTTCATGCTATTCATCAGTGTCAAGTCGGAATCAATAAATCGAAATATTTACTTGCACCGTACTATGTATTTTACCTTGTTGACCATAGGTTCAAGAAAAGAGAAATCGCATGCAAGACTGACGTATTTAAAAATGTTTTTTTTTTTACGAAAAGAATCAGAGAACGGATCCAACTGCCTGCTAGCATTGCCCCTACCATCTAAAATGATTTGTTTTATTCCATGCTAGATATACTGTGTTGCATTTTGCTTGGGTGTGTTGCATTTTTACTTTTAAATATATCTGTGTTGAAGATTGTGATTGAGGCGACTTTTATTATTTGTGTGGTGGAATATATGTATCTTTTCGTATTCTACTTTTAGTAAACCCTTCCCCACTGTAATACCTATTTGTGCTGTGGGTAAATAAATAAATAGATAACGAAATAAAGTGTCGATGAATAAGGAATAAATTTAAGGACAAATGATGTATCTTTTCAAAACAAGTGAACTAACAGTGATATGTGCCCACCACAAACTCTAAATATGTTGCCAAGTTGCATTTTAGCAATAGTTTTTTTATAATAACTCGAGATATAATGAGAATAACGTGAAGAAAAATGTTGAGGGGATATGTACTGCCTTTGTATGGAGATGATGGTGCCTCCATGCAGACTTTTCAACAAACAGCCACATTTCTAGCTGAAGAATGATTTGTGGGGCTATGACTTATGCCGGTGACACAATCTGAACTCATATTGATGAATTGATTGATATATGGGGTCTGATGTCCAAAATCATCATATGATTATGAGAGATGCCGTAGTGGAGGGCTCCGGAAATTTCGAACACCTGAGGTTTTTAACAAGCACCCGAATCTGAGCACACGGGCCTACAACACTTCCGCCTCCATCGGAAATGCAGCCGCCGCAGCCGGAATTCGATCCCGCGACCTGCGGGTCAGCAGTTGAGTACCTTAGCCACTAGAACACCACGGCGGGCTCGTATAGATAAACCATTTGAATAGCTATGTATAAGGGCATCCATATAGGGTCAAGTTTAACCTTAAATGGATGCTTCTATATATAGCCATATATAGATGATTGCCCTATATCAGCATTTACAGCAACGTCCATATATGAGTAAATGCGAGATTAGGTATATCAGAAAAGCCTTGGAGAGCTTGCAAAGAGGTAAACCTGGTGGTAAGGACCATGTAACATAAGATCTGCTGAAAGATGGAGGACAGATTGTGTTAGAAAAACTAGCCACCCTGTTTACGAGGTGCCTCCTGACGGGAAGACCACCAGAGTCTTGGAAAAATGCTAACATCATTGTAATACATAAGAAATGAGATGACAAAGACTTGAAGAGTTACAGACCGATCAGCTTGCTCTCCGTAGTACATAAGGTATTTAGAAAGGTAATGAGTTAAGAAAACATAAGAATTCAATGAACCAAAGGAACAAGTAGGTTTCCAACAGGCTACTCAACAATCAACCGCATTCATACTATCAATCAGGTAATAGAGAATGCTCAGAATATAGCCAACTACTATACACAGCCTTCATAGATTACGAGCAGGTGTTTCATTCAGTAGAATAATCAGCAGTCGTGCAGAGACTGCGGAATAAGGGCGTCGATGATGTATATGTAAACATCCTGGAAGAAATCTACAGAGGATCAACTGCTACCATATTGCTTCATAAAGAAAGCAACAGAATACCAATAAATAAGGGTGTAATGCAGGGGGATACAATCTCCCAAATGTTATTTACCGCGTGCTTACGGGAGGTTTTCAGAGGCCTAGAACGGGAACAGTTAGGTA